AAAAAAAAAAAAAAGAAACTGGAAAAAGATAAATATATTTAAAAATCAGCTCCTCACAGACTTTTCACATCGCGGGAGGAATGCCGCTTCTGCAGGCATTTCCTTTGCTTGAAATTGGGACGAGACGAGCGCACCTCCGGAAACACTGTCAAAAATCCCGCACCTGTTTTCTGAGAGATTCCGGAACGGACAGCTCGAGAAAACGGAGCGATCGATTTGCACCTCGTTTTGTCGTTTGAGTTCCTTTCACACGTTGAGTGCAACGAGTGCATCGAAACGTGAGCTGTCAATGTAAGGAATATTGATGGCAGTCAAAACATAGGCACTGTAGTAAGGGGTGGTTCTTTATTTTGGAAGTATGGCAAACTTGACCGTGAGTCGCTATTGCAGAAAAAACTGGTACAAGCGCTCCGTCCGTCTCGTAGTAAAACGGTACAGTCCACCCAAAACACGAAGTGGATCAATCTGTTGATATTTCGGTTAATTTCTAACAGTGGACTTCCCCAGTCGTTCCTATTTCCTTCGCCTCATGAAAAAAATAACCAACGAGACGAAATCTGCTATTCCTGGCGCAGCGGGCAGAAATCACGGGAAAGCAAGACAGAGAATGCGGTGGACGGAATGCGAAGCAATTTTTTAATTGGCGAGCAGTCGTGCGCTCGCCTTGCGGTACAATTTAAAAGTTTGTTGGCTTACCTCAAAGTCGTTGCCGATCCGGGTGCCGGGCCGATGGGAGGCCGTCTTGAGCGCCGACACCCACTCCTCCATCAAGCAGCGTGTCTCGGCGGCCAGCGCCAGGCGCCGGCAGGGGCTGATCACCTGAAAAGGAAGGACAAAAATTGTTTTGGTGAAAAATATCTTCGTCAATAAACAACAAATTTGTATTTTCAATTACAAAAATCTTTTTTAATTTTACGACAGCCCATTCTTGCTCGTCAACAGATTCCGAGTCCACAAAAGAGCGCTTTGAAATTTTACAATTTCCAATGGTAATTTTACAACACACATCGTGGAAAATTTTCTTGTGACACTTACATGTTTTTTTCATAGTGCCGTCTGTAAAGTGTTTCGGGTTTGCCTACCCGATCTGCCCGTAAAGCGCCGCCGTAGCCCATTGGGTATGCAAACCCGCAAGACTGGGGAGTAATTAGCCTTTACACTCGGCACACAGACATTTACGAGAACCGGTGCGTTGTTGTCATATAGAAAATGATGTTTGAGCGTCAATTCAAAAACCGTCAACAGGTTCTCGCGGTAAAAGTTAAGGGCTGTAAATATATAGCCGACTATGGGGATTAAAGGTAAATAAAGGAGTTCAGTGGAGAGAGAAAAAACGGAGGAGGGGGAGGGGGGGTGAGTGGAAGCGCAACGAGGCGCGCCCGCTAGCAAAGACACGCAGCCAACTTTTAATGGTTCGGCAACAAGTTGTGGAGGGGCCGCGGGGCGGGGGCGGGGCGCGCCAAGGGATAGACGTGGCTGATGGACGGATAGAGAGGCAGACAGGCGGCAGACCATTTTGACGACTGCTTCAGTTTGCCCGACACACATCGACATAACTTCTATCACACCGCAGAGTGAGAAGCAAGCCCGCACCCGCACCCCTCTCCCTATTTCTCTCACCCTCTCCTCCAGTCTCCTCCAGTATGGTGCCAGAGCCATCGCTGAGACAGCATATACTCCGCGCCGCCCCTTGCTCAGCCAAGTTTACTACGCCGGAGACCTCTGCTGCTACTGCTACTCAGATGATGCAAATTCCAGCTTCATGCATACTGCAGCACATGGGTGCTTAATAAAGCGCAGAGGTTGAGGTCCTAGTATACAAGTCTCCAGGGCTTGAAGGGTACATGCGTGTATCACACCAAAAGGGTGCTACAGAGATAGACCTGTCCGAAAGGAAACCTCAGTACAACAACCGAAAGGTGTGCGACTGTCGTACACAATCACTGTAAACTGGTTGGCGTATGCTCTGGTGCACTAAAAAAGACGCAAATATTTGACGTTTTCAGTAAACGCCGTCGGACCAAAAACCTTGGGCCAATAGTGGCCTCGCGGTTAGTCAAGTCAATGATTTGGTGTTTAAAGATGCCAACCAGTTTCTAGTGAAGGGTTTCCAGAGTAGCACCCCCGTTACTGGCAAAACAAATTGAGAAGTGAGTGTCCGTGATGGGATATTTAATGCCCCGTTAAATGCATTACCGCCTTAATACCAGTAATGCAATTTTATTTTCCATTTTTTCTCGAAAGTGTTCGGGCGGCAGGCCTCGCGGCGCGTGGCCCCTCAAATGCCCCGCTCCCTCGGCGCAAACACGGTTAAGTCGCCAACAACGGAGAACAACTAAATGGGCTCTGGTTTACCGCAGCTTAACCGTGTGCCCCCGCGTGCCCTATGAGTGCTCCCCCTCGCTCTCTCCCCTACCCGCCCGCGGCGCTGTGGCTCGCGTCTCGCTCTCTCTCTATTTCCAAAGTTGGATTAACTATTTATTCCCCCCCCCCCCTCTACCAACACAAGGCGCCAGACGCCCTACCCCGTCCGCCCCCGCCTCCAGCCCTCGTCTGAGGTTCGTCTCGAGTCAACTTGTGCATGGAAATGACACCCTTTATCAAACGACTCCGAGATTTGCGCTGCCGCCGCCGCCAGCGACGACGAAAGTTGAGCGACAAGCAAACTCGCTCCCAGTGCGTTTGTTTGTACTTTGAATTCCTATACCAACGCCTACTCCAGACTTTTACATCAGGAGGTTCACGCAGCCCGCGCATTTTCATAGGTACCTTACTCCAAAAAGACTCGGCAAAAAGAGCCTCGGATTCGGAGCCTATAACAGCGTGTCACACCCCTTATGGGTTTTCTCGAAAGGTTAGATTTTCTTATTCACACCTGATTCTGATTCGTAGCTGGATGACCCAGACTTTGCAGCTCTTTGTATATGAAGAGGTGGGTACGGAACACCGAAACGGTCTCCGTGCCCACAAAGGAAAGTACTTCGAGGACTCTACATGGAATCTCAAACTACGACGAAAAAATTAAGAAAAAGAAATCGGAATGGGTCAACAAGAGCCGAGTGATTCTCCCAAAGTCCCCTGCGTGACGGTGACGGTCGGCCGTTATTCACAGAACAAATATATCACAAAGCGTGTTAGGCAACACGTGTTTTCACCTACATCAACCTATAATTACTGCACGTTATTCTTCCCCTTATTAACAGGGTACACATCACCCGCTAAATGACCTTTGCCGGTATTTTTCAAATCGCGCGCAAATTTAATAATCTCTTAATGCCTGCGACGCGCCACACATTAAAATAATAATACGGGAGTCAAACAAAATAAACACAGTGGCGGTGTGTGTGTGTGTGTGTGTGGTGGTGGTGAGGGGGGGAGGAGAAGGGGGGGGGGGGGGGGGTCGCTGCCTGCTGCGTTGTGTAGGGCGGGCGCTGCCGTCGCTCCCGTGCTGAGCTTTTCATCCCACTCCGCTAAGCTGCCCAGTTGCCCGTCCGCTCGGGAGGCCAAATGGACAGCGCCAGTCATCCAAACTTGTTTTCTCACCGCGGTATCGATTTGTTTGAATAGCCCCAGAGACCGATGAGAGAGTTAGTCCGTACCGCACGGGCCCGCGGGGAGAGGTACGGCTGCAACTCCGCACGGGGTATTTTTGCCCCAGGTGGCCAGGGGAAGCGCGCCCAGATCATACTTGGTTGTCATTTTCACCATTCAAAACTTATATTTTCATTTAAAAAAATCTCCAGCTATATTGGTTTTTTGAAAAAGAAAGGTACAAACGCAAAACAATGAAAATATTGGTCCCAGCATACTGGCATTTTAATGTTTAAATGTGTTAGTGTTTAAACTAAAAATAATAGCATACCAACCTGAAATGTGTGGGCAACGTTCCGGACGATGAGGTTTGTAACCGTAGAGTCCGTCAAATCGATCTCGTCAAAAATCACAGCCTGAAAAAGAAAGACGACAGAGTGTAAGTGCAAAGTTCCAGTGACTCAACCCTATTTCGGTGTGTCCGCGGTCGCAAGCAACGTCACGCCCTAACACGCGCATGCTGGGGGGAGGGGGGGGGGGGATGCACAGCGCATTTAAATAGTAGGTGGCCATCAAACTTTGATATAAAAAAGTTTGCGAGCTTCGGACACTGCATATGGAAAACTTTCATCCGCCACCCCGCTCCTTCCCCCGCTCCACGCCCCTGACATGGCAGGGATCGCAAGGGAGGAGCATGCATATTTCACGCGGGGCGTCCAGACCGAGCTGCCAGCCAGCCAACCGCTCAGCCAGGCAGGCAGGCTCACAAGGGCATCGCGACTGCGACGCACAGAGCCATGCTTTATACATCTAGCTGCTGCCAACAAACAAATCCTCCGGCACCCCGTTCCCCTCTTTACCTCTCCTCTCCGCCGCGACCGAGGGCCGCGACGGTAATAAAACCAAACGCGGAACAACTTAAATTGAGTCTATTTTTACGAGTCATTTGATTTCGTATGCCGTTGATTATTAGACGCGGCCATCATGGTTCGTACGAAGCAGAAGTTAAAGCCGGTTAAAGCTATAAATGTGGGTGGTTAGTTGTCTCAAAATGAAAATAGGTACCTAGACAAAACGAAAAATATAACGCCTTTATGGCTAACAACGCCTTTAAAAGGTGCCATGTGCTAACTTCTTTTTCCAGTGTGGGAGGGACCCCCTCAAGAAGGAGTGGCGTTGCGTAATTTATCAGCCAAAACCCTGCTGGTCTGCCTTGAGAAGTGGTGTCCAGGAGGAACGCAGAGAAGGGGGGTGATGGCGAGAGAGAGAGAGAGAGAGAGAGAGAGAGAGAGAGAGAGAGAGAG